AACCTACTGAACAAAGGAAAATATTTGCAAATGATATACTGGAAAAGGGGTTAATATCCAAAATATTTAAAGAAATCGCACAACTTAATATCAAAAAAAAAAAACCCCAAAGAGGTCTGTTAAAAAATGGTCACAGGACCTGAATAGACATTTTTCCAAAGAAGACATACAGATGGCCGACAGACACATGAAAAGATGCTCAACATCACTAATCATCAGAGAAATGTGAATCAAAACCACAGTATCACCTCACACCTGTCAGAATGGCTATCAACAACAGTTCCTGTTGGTGGGAATGTAAATTGGTGCAACCCTATGGAAAAATGTGGAGGTTCCTCAAAAAATTAAAAACAGTACTATACAGTCCAGTAGTTCCACTTCTGGGTGTTTTCTGAAGAAAACAAAAACACTAATTCAAAAAGATATATGTACTCCTATGTTCACTGCAGCATTATTTACAGTAGCCAAGATATAGAAACAACCTAAGTGTCCACAGATAAATGAATAAATAATGAAGAGGTGATATATAGCTATATACACAATGGAATATTACTCAACCATAAAAAAGAATGGAATTTTGTCATTTGTGACAACACAGATGGACCTAGAGGATATTATGCTAAGTGAAATAAGTCAAACAGAGAAAGAGAAGTACTGAATGATTTTACTTATATGTGGAATCTAAAAAAACAAAACAAACAAAAAAAAACAGAAGCAGACTTAACAGATAAAGAAAACAAACTGGTGATTGGAAGAGGGGTGGGAGGTTGGGGAAAATAGGCAAGAGAGATTAAGAGGTACCAACTTCCAGTTACAAAATAAATAAATCACGGAATGTGATGAACAGTATTGGGAACATAGTAATTTGTAATAGATTTATCTGGTGACAGACGGTTATTAGACTTATCATGGTGATCAATTTGTAATGTATATACATGTTAAACTACTATGTTTTATACTTGAAGCTGATATACTATTGTATGTCAACTATACTTCAATTTTTAGAAGTAGAGTAACAGGATTACATGGTGCAAGAACAAACGAACACATAGAATAGAATTCAAAGACAGACCCATATATAGGTAAACTTAATGTACATGAAAGTTATTAAAATGACTGAATAAAGAATAGACTGTTTAATAAATGGACCACACATGGACATAAACACTAGATCCATATTTAACAACATATGTAGAAGCAGATGTCTAAAGAAATACTAAAATACTAAAGATAAACTAAAGAAATACTGTGAAAGGTAAAAGTATAAAACTTAATTAAATAACACAGAATATATTATGACCTAGATACAGGGATTTTTTTTTTTAGAAAAACAAAACTTCGTAAGCATAAATCATTGGACAAAAATGCGATAATTTGGATTATATCAAAATGAAGGTTTTTCATTCAACAAAGGACTCTATGAATAAAACTGACAGAGAGGCGATGGATCAGAGGTATGTATTTGCAATGGCTATAACCAAAAAGGATTCATATTTATCATATACACACCAACAAGGAAATGGTAGAAAACTCAAAGGAAAAATGAGCAAAGAAGATGAACACAGAGTGTCCAGCAATAGAAACCCAAAAGGCTGACAATATGGTTCACTCAGGAAATATTTATTTGGTGCTGACTGTAAGACAGACACTATTCTATATTCTTGGTACATATATTTACCTGAACCAAAGAGCCCTGCTCTCAAGGGGCTTACATTATATTCTGGGGGCAGTGGAGGGATGACAGACAGACATTAAACAATGAGTTAACTGCAAATATGTTAGAAAAGATAAGTTCTTTGGAAAAAACTAAATAACAAGGTAAGAGGGAACAGGAGTAGGGGGCAAGGAGAAAGTCTGCAGCATCAAATAGGGCAGTAATGATAGTTAAATGAAGAATTGGAGGAGATGAGGAAGTGGCTGAGGAAGCAGCATTCCAGGTAGGGAGGCATAGTTCGGAGAAAAGCCTGTGTTCATTGTAAATACTTCGGATTGAATTCTGAATAACTGCATGGTTGAAAGAAGGAAGGACGTGATTCGAGTTCTGTTTTAAAGGGACCACTGAGTGCTGGGATATAAGGAGGAAGGACGTGATTCGAGTTCTGTTTTAAAGGGATCACTGAGTGCTGGGATGTAAGAATAGAAGCAGGGAAATTTGATGCAGGCAATGGCAGTAACCCAAGTGGGAAGTCAGGGCGGCTCACACTGGGGTGTAAGAGTGGAGATGCTGAGAAGTGATCATACTATGTATGTATTTTGAAAATAGAGACAACAGGCTACTCTTGCCAATTTATGAGAGAAAGACTGGGAAATTGCCTAATCACTGCAATGATGGAGTTACCACGAATTGAAGCGGGGAAGGCATGGATAGAGTGGTGCTGGGTGAAGGCAGACAAATCAGAAGTTCAGCATATGAAGACACGTTCATACTGATTACTTACCAGAGTAATGCAAAGTAAGACAATTTTATATCTTTTAGGCTAGAAAAATTCAAAACGTGCAGGCTGTGGATGGATAAGAGCCGTCAGGCACTGACGTACGAGTGTAGACTTATAAAGCCATTCTGGAGAGCATTATCCATTACCTAGCAATTGGCTCCTGTGTATATTCCTTAAATAAATTCTCACAGGTCCTTAAGTGCACATGTATTATGATGTTCACCATCGGGCTATATGTGGGGGTAGGGAGCTGGGTACCATAGCTAAAATATGGTGAACACCGTGGATTACTCTGAACAGTTAAAAGTAATAGACTAGCAATATGTATCATTCTTAAAAATATAGTGTTGAGGAAAAAAAAAAAAAAACTAAGATACAGTCTGAGTAGTTTATATTTTAAATACATAAATGTACTCTCAAACATCATTATATGCATTAAACATATCAGAATAGTTGAGGAATAAAGAATGGGATAAAACAGAATTAATTAATAAAAGAAGCCTGCATGGGTGATAATATCTCATCTACTGAACAGTATTATGAACCAATTAACTCTGAGCCTGAGATTTTTTAAAGCCTATTTACTATTATACTAAATTCCAACATGCATTATCTTCATATATTTCGTAAGAGGCAACCTCTAGAATAGTAAAGAAAATTTCAATTAGTAAATCAATCGGCAGGAATTTATTAGCATTGTTAAGGCACTGGGAACACAAATAAGATAAAAGGCATAGCCCTTGCTCTCAAGAACCTTACAGTCTAACTGATGAATATAATACTTTGCCCTTTCCAAGGTAGAAACTTGAATTTTCTCCTTGTAAAACTGGGAGATCAAAACATCTCTACTCTTGAGATTTTACTCAGAAATTTGAGCCCAGTTATTCATGATGCTAATTGATAGGATTCAGAATTTCCAGTGAAAGGAATTATTTATTACTAAATTTATTAGTGCTTATTAGTAAATTATTAATACATTGGATAAGTCTCAGATTTCACATACAAAAAATGTACAGGTCTACAATTATTTTTTCCATGAATGTCTATGACTTGTTAAAAAAATTTTCCTTTTATAGAGATTTAGCCGTTTTCTTCCAACCCTTGTTAGACAAGCAGTGTGCCATGAGAGCAGAGAGAGGAAGGAGTCAAAATGCAGATGAAGAAGCAGGCGGCAGCTGGACCAAGTTAGGTCCTGTACTTGTGGAGTTTGGATTTTATTCTAAGCAGGAAAAGGATGTGACTTGATTTATTTTCTAAGATAGAGGAGACTTCTATAGATCAAATGGCCCAGGTCACTCAAATAAATTGTAGGGAAAAGAAAGAGTTGGAGGGGACCTATAGATTAATGAGATTTCAAAGCGTATCAAATTGAAAAAAATGGGCAAAATTAAACTACAGTGACAGTGACTAGGGATGTTTGCTTGAATAATACAGCCATAAAGAAATGCAAGACAGTGATTACTACAGAGGTCACTAGAGCAGTTACTTTTGGGAAAAAGTTGTGATTATGATGGGGCACATGGAGTGACTGCTACAGTAGCTGGCAGAACTGTTTTTTGTTTTGTTTTGTTTTGTTTTGTTTTTACTTGAGTGGTGGTTACAAGAGGGTTTGTCTTACAATAATTCACTAAGCTACACATTTATTTAGTGCGGTGTTCTGCCTGTGTTTTAGTTTACAAAATAAAGTCACAAAACAAATAATAATTTTAAAAATTAAAGCTGTTGTGTGCAGAATAGAATGTAGAAAGCAGAAGTGGAAACAGAGAGACCAGTTGATCACATATTTTGTTGACAAGCTAATGGACTCTATTGCTGGGTAGGGTGTAAAATAAAGGAATCAAGAATTACTCTGATGTATGATGGATCCTTTTACTAAAACAGTGAAGGTGTATTGGGGCAACAGGAAAGGAACAGCTTGGGATAGAGGAAGCAAGAACAACAGCTCTATTTTAACTATGTTATCAATGAGATTCATATAATGTAAGTGAAAGGAGTTAAGCAAGCCTTGATACATGTGTTTGGAGATCATGAGAAAGGTCTTGTCTGGCTTGGAGCTAAAAAATACATAGATAGATAAATAGATAGAGACAGAAAAGTTGGATGGATGAATGGATAATGAATGGGTGGATGGATGGATGGAGAGATAATAAATTGGGTGGACAGATGCCGTGGTTCTGGGTAAGGTGGCTACCTGGAGCAGACACAGAACAGTGATCTACTAGAGCCACAGCACAAGGAAAACATTCACTGGGAGTCACTCTGCATAATGTGTAGTGCTATAATTGTGTCCTACAAGCTATTTTTAAAAAACAGTTGAATACCTACCCTATGGCACCACTCTACTAGGCATTTTACATAGATAATTTATAATCTTCAAAATAATCACACACACTGGATATTATTACTTCTGTTTATAGTTGAGGAAACTAGAGGTCAGTGGTGTTAAGTACCTTTTTCAAAGCAACATTGCTGGTGATGGGTGGGGTCATGAAACAAAGTGTGGCTCTTCTCACCCTGAAAATTTTTACTGATTATGTTTCATTTTCTGAGGGAATAGGCAGGAAGTATATGAAAGTAAAAGGGGGCATATGAAGTCTAGGAGGAGAGATTATCCAGCAGACTGCAGCTTAATAATTAAAGGCTTTTTTTTTTTTTTTTTTACCGTATGTGTAACAGGTCAAAATGTGGATGAATGTGGAAAGTCAGTCTAGAAAAACTTGTTCACCATGATCTACCTTATGAGAAAATCTGAGAAGAAAGGGCATGTCCATCATTTTCTCTTTGTTTAGAATGTCGTTCTATGGGCTGTTGGAGGGAAGGAGAAATTCTATGAATCTTTACCCTTTGTCACTAAGTTTCCCCAACACTCTTCTAGAGGTGCTCATCACTTCCTTGTTCAAGCTGTAGATTAAGGGATTCAGCATTGGGGTCACCACAGCAAAGAACAGGGTGACCATCTTCTCCTGTTCTGCTGAGGAGCCAGCCATGGGTCTCAAGTATGTGAAGATGGCTGTTCCAAAGCACATGGAAACCACAATGAGGTGAGAGGCGCAAGTCCCAAATGCTTTGTGGCGTCCCTGGGCAGAATGAAGACACAGAATCGCAGCAACTATACGACCATAGGAGAACAGAACAAGAAAACAGGGAAGCATGATCACCAGAAATCCTGAGATGGCCACCATGACCTTGTTGAAGGAGATGTCCACACAGGTCAGCCTCAGCACAGCCAACATCTCACAGGCAAAGTGATGAACAACCTTATGGCACAGAGGTAGCTGAAAGATGACTGTCTGCATCAGTGAATTCATGAAACCAGCCAGCAAGCAGCCAGCAGCCAGCCCCAGGCACAGCCCTCCGTGCATGGTGACTGCACAGTGCAGTGGACGGCACACTGCCACACAGCGGTCATAAGCCATGGCTTCCAGCAGGAAGAACTCTGTGCTGCTCATTGCCAAGGAGATAAACAGCTGAAGCACACAGCTGTAGAATGGGATAGACTCCTGGGCTGACCAGAAGGAAGTGAATGAGCGTCTGGGGGACAGTTATGTTGATATAACAGATGTCCACAAATGACAGGATACTGAGGAAAACGTACATGGGTGTGTTTAGCCTGCTATCCAGTCTGATAAGGAGGATGATGAGGAAGTTCCCCAGCACAGTCATCAGATACATGGCCAGGAAAAGGACAAAGAGGGAGACCTGAGTCTCCCAGCAGCTGGACAGTCCCAGCAGAATGAACTCACTCATCCATGTCTGGTCTTCCCTGCCCATGAGCTTCTGAAGACCAAACCCAAGTTTATATAAATCAAAAAAACTAGATACGTAAGGTGCCAGAGGACCTTATAAGGTCACTTAGACCAAACAGCCATCTAATATTAAGTGGTGTGGTTTTTCAGATTGTATGTCTCCTTCTGGGAAACAACAGATCCAAGGAGAAGCTTCCTTAAGCAGAAATGTTTTCATTAAAATGCTTATTTGAGTTAAAAAGATAAACTGTAAAACATGATATTTTTTCTTTAAAGCCAACTCCTAACCATGGAGTTTGTTTACTTCCCTGTTAGACACCGGTTTTTCCCTCCTTACTATCTCAGAATCCATACTGAATGGAACCTAATAGGTATGAACAGGTTTTCTTTTTAATTTACTTTTTTTACTTCTGGATTCTTTGACTATGAAAATGAGATACTAAATTTCCACCCTTTTAAAATCACAAATTTGGGGTTGTAAGTTAGAAGGTAGCAAATATAAAATAGTTTTTAGTAGCTAAAAATTATCGAAAATTACATCTCAGAGTTAGTGAGATAAAAAATAAAGACCTGGGTGACCAGGCTCATTTTTGAAAAATCTTCACCTGTTTGTCTTCACCTGTTTGTCTTTTACCTGGCTGAGAGAATAAGAGGAAAGAATCTGCAATATTGCATTTCTCCTCCCTTGAAAGAGCAGCAGATCATGGGGTCGACAGCAGAGTATGGCTGTCAAGAAACAAATCAAAGATGTGTTAACTGTCTTCCTTAGTAAATGCTAAGAGCTCGAAGAGTTGCCACACGTGCTGGCCTATTAACTAAAAGCTAAGGGGAAACTGGTTGCACATTCCCTCTGATTCTATTTGTATGTATTCTAGATAGTGATTATTGTGATTTGGAGACCATATAATGTGATGGAAAAAATTAATTAGAATTAACTCAGTGAAATGACTGTTGATGATCTCTTTCCTTTAACCGTCCTTACTTTTATCTTTATCTGAAATATTTGACTATCCCCTGCCCCTTAGAAAACTCTGTCTTTTCTCATCCTTGTGCTATGCTCCCTCTACTGTGACTCACATGACCAGAAGGTAATAGTCTAGTCTGCTCAATACCATCCCCAAACTTTCTAATCCTGCTGATATATTAGTATTTCCGAAAGCTCAAGGGCTCTAGTATTCTTTCTGGAACTCTTAGTAATCTTATTTGTACCTTGTCAAATCTCAAGTGATTTCCAAAAACCTCACGGACTGAACAAAGCCCACTCTAGATTTCCCACATACCCTGTCCCTCTAATTACTCTGTTCTTTAGGTAGAGAAAGTGAAACGCATGCACTGCTGTGACAAGGAGATATTATCTGTTTGCTGTCTGTGATCAGATAGTGCCATTGAATATATGATGAGAATCATATTTTGTGTTGAGGGCATTCATGACAGTAAGGGCAGCTAACTGCAGATAAATAGGGTGCCAAAGGTGATTGGATTAGCCAGCAGAGAAGGGTCTATTGGCATTTGCATTTGATAATCTTTTATCTAGAAATGAATTAAGCTTGATAAACCATTCCTACTCTGAGAGATAATTTATGTAAATTACAAGGGGAGGCAATAAAAGTACAAAATGTTCCTTAATTCTTTAGAATTTACTCTAGAGCTTCAGATCAGCAAGCCACTTTGTAATATTTCTATCAAAGAAAGAGGAAACCTACCTTTTTATCCCCAATGAAAAGGGAAAAGTTGGAATATAAAATTATCACTGGTGAAGACCTCAGGTACAAAAGAGAGATAAGTGACTACAAAGGGGAAAAATCAGTGCCTGAGACCTGTCAGCGGAACCTGACAATGTACAGATGATATTTTAATAGATAATATTCCTAGGGAGGTGCATGAGGCAGTCTCTGATTCTGCTATAATACATGAAACAATTCATGTAACATGAGTTCACCAGGAGAGGGCTAAAAGGAAAAAAAAATACAGTGCAGGAGGTATCTGATGATTCTTTAAGGTCTTCTCAGGTACCAGATAAGGAGACTTGACTGAAAAATCTGATGATATTATCTTGTGGTTTTGAGTTTTCACTTCTTAAAAACTAATAATAGTTAAGGGCTTGACAAAGAAAATGCAGTAATCCCTGGTCTTGGATCAGTAATTCCGCTGAAAGGCTCAGCAAGGTATTGTTTACAAATAGAAACACTCATGGTTCACATGACACGTTTCTGTACCATCTTCATGTTTTCTAAAGTGCCTCTCCCCAGGAGTGAATGAACGACCTGCTTGGCCAATGAACGTGCATTTCCCAGTTCGACTGTCACTACTACAGCTGCTCCTCAGTATCCCTGGGATTGGTTTCAGGACTCCAGTGGACACCAAAATCCACAGATGCTCAAGTGCCTTATATAAAATGGCCTAGTATTTGCATATAACCTACACACATCCTCCTGTACACTTTAAATCATCTCTAGATTACTCATAATATCTAATTACAAAGTAAATGATAAGTAAATAGTTGCTAGCATTAAGCAAATTCAAGTTTTGCTTTTGTGAACTTTCTGGATAATTTTTTAGTATTTTCAATCCATGGTCGGTGAACCCACAGATGTAGAACCTGTGGATCTGGAGGTCCAACTGTCGCTTCTTCATCTGTCTAAAGGGAGCACAAATTCAAGTCTGTCCCAATTCGCTGGAGTGAGGGAAGTAGGGAGGATAATAGAAAAAGGATATGACATCAATAGGAAAAAGAATGATTTTTTAACCAAAAGTAAAATGTTTAAAACACTTTTGAAAATATGGTATGTAAATAAAAGTTAAAAACAGATTTTCAAAAATAAGGTGGAGGTGTTGTAAGTGACAATAATAGTAAGATAAACAGCATTCCTAAACCACCTCTCCTTCCAAGAACTGTGATTCAAGCTTCCTAAAGTTCTACATCAGAAGTGTTCTCAAAAGAAGCCACCTGGAAAGCTTGAGATTTCCCAACAATGTTAACTGGCTAAGTTGCTATCCCCACCCCATTCCCACTTCCTAATGCATACCTACAACTACACTGCTTGGAGCAACAGAAAGTTTAGAGCCAGTCATCTAGACGAAGTTACCTTCTGACCATCACTGTTTAAGAATGAGCTGGTTAACACAAACCTGTTCTCAGATCCAAATTTCCAGCAGTGGACAAGTGCTGGGGGGAGTGCAATGTGACACAGGGAACACGACCTGTAGTAAATAAGTTCAATGTTTCCCATGAATGCAGTAAAAGCCCCAGGCTAGGTGCTTCATTTCTCAGAGGTATTCGAGAGAAATTTCTCCCCAGTTTGGCTACCCAAATGTATTTTCTTAAAACCAATTGCAAAAATGGGACCTTAATCTCTGTAGTAACCAAACTGAACCCAAGTTTCACATGAGCCCAGAAAGAAGCTGTGTATTAAGGAAATCCTTGCTTCTTGACTCATAATCCTAAGAACCCAATGGAGAGCCTCTGAGCATGACTGCCTTACCTCCAGGAAAAGAGGTCAGCATTGCCCAGGAAGAGCAGGGCTGGGCAAGAAGTGGGATTTTCTTTTCCCTCAGAGATAAAATCTCTACAGGCCAATTATGCTGTGCTTGTTGGGTTTCCATTGTTTTTTCACCTTCTCTGTATGGTGACTCTCTCACCTTAAACTCTCATCTGCTTTTAAAAGAATTTACAAGTGAGAATTCAGTTTTCCCTGAGCCAGAAACAGGAGAGAAGAGAATCTGAATCCCCAGTTCCCCTGGAGACATTCTCCTGTCTTCGTTGAAGTTTCACTTTGAGGTAGTTAAAACTTGCCCATGACTTTCTGTACATGTACTCATGATTGAGACTATCTGAGCCAAAGTGCCCAATTATGTATGGACTGTCAAGGGGATCTTTGGGCAATATCTCCTGTAACAAGGTTCTGAAATTGTACATAAGCTATGATCATCTATTATCTACACAACTTATGCAACTTTTTCATGGGACATATCTCCATTTTGTCTCGCTATTGGGAGGTTCCTTTTAACTGGGCACTGTCATTATGTATTTTTGTATCTAGATTTTTGCCCTCATTTTCTAAAAATACTACAAAAATTTACTACCCACTTAAAGGCATCTCAAATCTGATAGCCATCCCATTGATGGATATTTAGGTGGTTTCTAATTTGTGGCTATTAAAAACAACACTGCTATGAACATTCACATAAACACACTCACACACACACACACTCATCTTTTGTCCCAGACATGTACTGTACTCATTTCTGTTGCCTAGTAGTGGAACTGCTATATCACAGATTATGTGTGTGTCCCACTTTAGCTAATATCACCAGTTCTGTCAAAACAGATGTTTCAATTATATTCCCACCAACTCTGTATGAGTATTCCTTTGCTCTAACATTCTTTGTCCTTGGATTAAGTCTTTTTCATTTTAGCCATTCTGATGTGTACACAGTAGTATCTCACTGTGATTATATTTTACATTTCTATGATAACTAATGAGGCTCTACATATTTTTAAGTATTTACTGACTATTTGGATATTCCACTTTCTGAGGTGTGTGTTCAATTTCTTGCCTATTTTCCTATTGGGTTATTTCTCTTTCTCTTATTGATTTTAGTTCTTTATATATTTTGAATATGAGTCACTTGTCATTTATATGTATCACAAATATTTTCTCCCACCTATTCATTCTCTAATGGTGTCTCTGATGAAGAGATGTTCTTAATTTTAATGTAGTTCTATTCATAGTTGTTCTTCATATAGTTACTGCATTTTGAGTCTTGAGTGAGAAATCTTTGTCTCTCCCAAATCATGAAGTTATTCTTCAATGCCATCTTCTGGGAGTTTTAATGTTTTACTTTTCACATCTGGATCAACAATATATCTGGAATTTATTTCTGTGCATGATACGACATAGGAACCTAGATTCATTTTTTTCTATGTGAATATCCGCTTTTATTGAGAGACAATTCTTTCCTCACTATTCTCCTGTGTTACCACAAACCAAATTTTAATTTATATGTGTAGGTTTTTCTCTAGAC